AGGCGCCCAGAACGCAGCAGTAGGCAGATGCTGAACAAATTTTTGCAGGCCTACAACAACAATTTTAGTTTGGTCGTTTGGAATTAGCTAGAAAGGGAAAGCTGCTGTGGACTCAGAGAGTGCAGTACTTGCATTCGCTAGAGGGAGATGTCAAATAGGTTCCACATAGAGAGCCGATCTACATGGGACAGTTTATGTATACTCAGAGAGCAGTAATTGCATTAGTATTAGTATTTAATAACATAGGCCGCTCGTTTGCTAGAAGGAGATATGAAATATGATTCCACGTTTGCTAGAAAGAGATGTCAAATAGATTCCACCATGTGAGCTTCCGAAGATTTGTTGTTGTTGCCTGTGAAAAATTTGTTCAGCATCTGCCTACTGCTGCGTTCTGGGCGCCTGGTACATGAAATCGAACTATTTATAAATTTGTACTGCGAAAAGCAATGACTCGGCACAAATCACAGTGCAAATATCTCGCCCTTCCCATTTTGAATACCAGGCGCCCAGAACGCAGCAGTAGGCAGATGCTGAACAAATTTTTACAGGCCTACAACAACAATTTTAGTTTGGTCGTTTGGCATTAGCTAGAAAGGGAAAGCTGCTGTGGACTCAGAGAGTGCAGTACTTGCATTCGCTAGAGGGAGATGTCAAATAGGTTCCACATAGAGAGCCGATCTACATGGGACAGTTTATGTATACTCAGAGAGCAGTAATTGCATTAGTATTAGTATTTAATAACATAGGCCGCTCGTTTGCTAGAAGGAGATATGAAATATGATTCCACGTTTGCTAGAAAGAGATGTCAAATAGATTCCACCATGTGAGCTTCCGAAGATTTGTTGTTGTTGCCTGTGAAAAATTTGTTCAGCATCTGCCTACTGCTGCGTTCTGGGCGCCTGGTACATGAAATCGAACTATTTATAAATTTGTACTGCGAAAAGCAATGACTCGGCACAAATCACAGTGCAATATCTCGCCCTTCCCATTTTGAATACCAGGCGCCCAGAACGCAGCAGTAGGCAGATGCTGAACAAATTTTTGCAGGCCTACAACAACAATTTTAGTTTGGTCGTTTGGAATTAGCTAGAAAGGGAAAGCTGCTGTGGACTCAGAGAGTGCAGTACTTGCATTCGCTAGAGGGAGATGTCAAATAGGTTCCACATAGAGAGCCGATCTACATGGGACAGTTTATGTATACTCAGAGAGCAGTAATTGCATTAGTATTAGTATTTAATAACATAGGCCGCTCGTTTGCTAGAAGGAGATATGAAATATGATTCCACGTTTGCTAGAAAGAGATGTCAAATAGATTCCACCATGTGAGCTTCCGAAGATTTGTTGTTGTTGCCTGTGAAAAATTTGTTCAGCATCTGCCTACTGCTGCGTTCTGGGCGCCTGGTACATGAAAGCGAACGATGTATAAATTTGTACTGCGAAAAGCAATGACTCGGCACAAATCACAGTGCAAATATCTCGCCCTTCCCATTTTGAATACCAGGCGCCCAGAACGCAGCAGTAGGCAGATGCTGAACAAATTTTTACAGGCCTACAACAACAATTTTAGTTTGGTCGTTTGGCATTAGCTAGAAAGGGAAAGCTGCTGTGGACTCAGAGAGTGCAGTACTTGCATTCGCTAGAGGGAGATGTCAAATAGGTTCCACATAGAGAGCCGATCTACATGGGACAGTTTATGTATACTCAGAGAGCAGTAATTGCATTAGTATTAGTATTTAATAACATAGGCCGCTCGTTTGCTAGAAGGAGATATGAAATATGATTCCACGTTGGCTAGAAAGAGATGTCAAATAGATTCCACCATGTGAGCTTCCGAAGAGTTGTTGTTGTTGCCTGTGAAAAATTTGTTCAGCATCTGCCTACTGCTGCGTTCTGGGCGCCTGGTACATGAAATCGAACTATTTATAAAATTGTACTGCGAAAAGCAATGACTCGGCACAAATCACAGTGCAAATACAGTATGTCAACAAAGTGTTTTGACAATGAAAAGTGTTTTGATTTTTTATGTTTGCATGCCAAAAAAAGGAAGTAATCAGCGTTTTTAAATATTTTAAAAATTGTATTTCGATTCTGTGGGTAAGTAAGTACTAATTTATGAGAAAAAATAACAACATTTCATTTGGTAACTGTCTTAAAAAAAATAAAAACCAATAACATTCAGATTTCATACTGTCAAGAAAGTGTTTTGACATCAGCGGCAAAACAGTTTTAGGACAGCTCCCATTGGAAATTAGCTTTGGTTTTTTTTTTCTCCTCTTAGCCTTTGCGTTCCTAATCATTTGTCAATCAATTTCGGCGCGACAAGTTCTATCAAGATTTAAAAAAAATGCCTGGAAAGAGAACTTCGCACGAAGTTGCACGACTGGTTTATTATAACCACCAGATCGGGAAAAAACGTCCAGGAACTGTCTGAAATGTTCTCCGTATTACGGCAGACAATATACAGCATCCTAAATAGACCAAACAAGGAGAATAGACCGGGTCCCAAGCCTGGAACAGGACGGCCTAGCAAAATTCCAGAGAGAGATGAGCGAAAATTGCTAAGGGAACTGGCCAAAATACCTCATGTTTGGCTCAGATCCATAGCAAGCGATCTCAAGGACACAAGTAATCTAAATGTTTTTCACGATACCGTCCGAAAGCTGCTAAAACGGACCGAGTACACATCCCAAAAATTATTGCTCTCGAAAGTAAACATAGAAAAGCGACTTTGGTTTGCCCAGAAACACCAGGAGAAGCCAGTGGGCTTCTTATTTTTTGCGACGAAACAAAGATGATGTTGTACTACAATATATAACATTACTCCAGAAGCCCACTGGTTTCTCCTGGTGTTTCTGGCAGTGTTTCGGACTCGCAAGTCAGCCGAGAGAATCGGACTCGAAAGTCTGCAGATTCGGACTCGAAAGTCAGCCGAGAGAAGTGGACTCGAAAGTCGGCAGTGTTTCGGACTCGAAAGTCAGCAGAGAGACTCGGACTCTGAAGTCGGCAGTATTTTGGACTCGAAAGTCGTCAGAGATTGGACTCGCAAGTCAGCAGAGATCCTAACTACAATTTATAAATAGGAACCAGAGTTCCCAAAAAGTGACTTCGCTGCTAACTACTGGGGAGGTTAACTCGACCCAATCGCAGTCGGCTGCTAAGTGATTACTCCAGGGCCGTGGTCCGCTTTATATAGGCCCTGGCGCGGCTTCAGTGTGGCCAGAGTCCTGTGCGGGATTTTCCCCGAATAGTGTGGCCAGTCTCCGTTCGGTCCAGTGTGACCCTCCTTGACGATCAGTGGCGCGCGCGCGCATTCAATTCAAATTATTTTCATAATGTCGCCAATCCATTTCTTATGTCCCTAAGTGGTTCTATTTTATTCTATTTCTTCCTTATAAGATATATTGTGCGCCTACAGGCGTCACAACTTGTGTCCTTGAGATCGCTTGCTATGGATCTGAGCCAAACATGAGGTATTTTGGCCAGTTCCCTTAGCAATTTTCGCTCATCTCTCTCTGGAATTTTGCTAGGCCGTCCTGTTCCAGGCTTGGGACCCGGTCTATTCTCCTTGTTTGGTCTATTTAGGATGCTGTATATTGTCTGCCGTAATACGGAGAACATTTCAGACAGTTCCTGGACGTTTTTTCCCGATCTGGTGGTTATAATAAACCAGTCGTGCAACTTCGTGCGAAGTTCTCTTTCCAGGCATTTTTTTTAAATCTTGATAGAACTTGTCGCGCCGAAATTGATTGACAAATGATTAGGAACGCAAAGGCTAAGAGGAGAAAAAAAAAACCAAAGCTAATTTCCAATGGGAGCTGTCCTAAAACTGTTTTGCCGCTGATGTCAAAACACTTTCTTGACGGTATGAAATCTGAATGTTATTTGTTTTTATTTTTTTTAAGACAGTTACCAAATGAAATGTTGTTATTTTTTCTCATAAATTAGTACTTACTTACCCACAGAATCGAAATACAATTTTTAAAATATTTAAAAACGCTGATTACTTCCTTTTTTTGGCATGCAAACATAAAAAATCAAAACACTTTTCATTGTCAAAACACTTTGTTGACATACTGTATCTCGCCCTTCCCATTTTGAATAGCAGGCGCCCAGAACGCAGCAGTAATGCTGAACAAATTTTTGCAGGCCTACAACAACAATTTTAGTTTGGTCGTTTGGCATTAGCTAGAAAGGGAAAGCTGCTGTGGACTCAGAGAGTGCAGTACTTGCATTCGCTAGAGGGAGATGTCAAATAGGTTCCACATAGAGAGCCGATCTACATGGGACAGTTTATGTATACTCAGAGAGCAGTAATTGCATTAGTATTAGTATTTAATAACATAGGCCGCTCGTTTGCTAGAAGGAGATATGAAATATGATTCCACGTTTGCTAGAAAGAGATGTCAAATAGATTCCACCATGTGAGCTTCCGAAGATTTGTTGTTGTTGCCTGTGAAAAATTTGTTCAGCATCTGCCTACTGCTGCGTTCTGGGCGCCTGGTACATGAAAGCGAACGATGTATAAATTTGTACTGCGAAAAGCAATGACTCGGCACAAATCACAGTGCAAATAGCTCGCCCTTCCCATTTCGAATACCAGGAGCCCAGATAGCACCAGTAGGCAGGGAATCGGACAATTTGCTAACACATTGTGTGAACTTGGGTGGGAGGTGTATGATGTTTTTATTGTTGGTATGATGTGGTTGTTGAAAAAGGTATTATTTTTGCTGACATGTCAAAATCGCATCTCACTTGGCAGTGTTGCTCATCTAGCGTACATGCATTACATAGTATTTTTACTGAAAGCCGCCCAATTGTCTAAAAAAAAATAAAACAAAACCACTCACTTGGATATTTTTTGTTGCTTTATTTAGTTTTGCCTTTCTGCGAAAGGCAAATAATTTGTGTATTTTCGATAAGTTCTCCTCTATAGAATTTAATGCCGACAATAAATAACAAAACTCACAAAGTACAATTTAATGTAAAAGAGGGATATTATATGCATTGTATTTATATATATTTAGTGCGGTATCCGACGAATACGTGTACGAGCACACAGAACGTTTGACGTGCTGCTGATCCTCGCCCAGGGATAGTTCCCAACGATGCTCTGGGCTCTGCCTATATATTGTGTGCACGCATGAGGCCAGCCCAGAAGACCATCGAGTACACATTTATTTTTAGGATACGAATACGCTTCTTACTATCGAATAAACACTATTATTACAAATATTTAAATTCGAAAAGAGCGCCGGGAGGGGGAATTTTCAAAGCGCTTAGTGTTTGTTTTCGTGTGTATTAAGGTTGTGTTGTGATTACTATGATCTAGGCTCGCGATCGCTTTCGATTAAACATCATCACTAAGCGGTTGGTTAATGCTACTAAAGTTAGACTTTTGGTAACCATAGAGATAATTCAACTAACGCATAAAGTTAAACACTGTGTGCTATACTCGTACTTCCGTCGCATATGCACACTCTCCATCCTTGCAATACTTTTTATCCTTGCTGTGATCCTTTCGAAGACAAACGACACTACTCTGCCATTTTTGGTACAATTCTTTCCCTTCTACCTGCGTTCTTAAATATCTAGAGAATTTGACTTCTTTGCCTTACCGTCTATCGTTTATGATTAGGACTAAAATTGAAGTTATACAATATAGACACACACAGATCAAGGATTACGATATACGAATTACGATTTACGATTTACATAACGTTTATAGGAATCTTTCTATTTAGTTTTAGTTGTAGGCTATCCCACTGTTCGATAGATACTGTTGCTCCAAGTGCGTATTTTTTATATACAAGATGTTTAGAGTATGAATTATGGTGTGTGTGTGTGTGGGGTGAATAGAACTATATGTACATATGTTGAAGATATGCTGATGGGGTCCTGGTCTCAGAACTGTTTTTCGGTAACTTTTCGAGCTTTGAAAACACTTTCTCAGCTGCCTTGCATTATCCCTCGCAACTGCTTGCTTTAAGACTCTGCCCACATCAGATTTTGGGATGTATTTATTTTTCGGCCGCCACTACCGTGGCTGAGGGCCCATTGCTGTTGGTCTCCGAGTGACGACGCGCCAGCAGATGATGGTGATGATGATGATGGTGGTTCTGCCGATGCTGCTGCTGGTAGCCGCCGCCAAAGGGCAGCCCGTTCTGACCTCCTCCTCCTCCGTTGGCAAAGGTCGGCATTCCATCGAGATTTCCAATTTTGCCCACAATTTTTGGTATCCTATCACTGTCCGTCGCCAGGAGCGGCGTGGCCAGGCTGATGAGCCCGCTGCCGCCGATGCTGGCGCTGCCAATCCCGATCCCCATGTGATACGAGTGATGATGATGATGATGCGAGTGGCTGTGGCTGTGAGTATGACTATGCTGATGCTGATGGTGGTTGATCACGGGCGTACTCTTGCAGAGGCCACCAGTTTCATTCTTGCTGTCCATCTCGAGTTCCTGGGCGCCCCTCAGCGAGCTGGTCTTCCTCACATGCAGGCCGCTCCGCGAGTGGTCGCAGCTCTTGCAGCGCTGCTTCTGAGCCGAGGCTGGGTTGGAGGTCTGCCGCTGCAGTGCGTTCACCACCAGCTTGGCCTGCAGCGTCTTTGAGGGCGACACTGGAGTGCTGTCGTCCTCGCCAGTGGGCGGCGGCGTGGACAGTCGGCTGGAGGCGGTGGAGGAGGAGCAGCTCGAGGAATGTGGGGAGCTGCAAATGGAGGCCACCTCAAGTCCGTTTTGCTGCTGCTGCTCCGCATCATCATCAACATCATCGCGCTCACTGGGCAGGGTGCTGGTGGGATGAGAAGCGACGGCAATGTGGTTATTAGTAGAGCTGCTGCTGTTGGCCAAGTTGCCGTTGCCATTTACGCTTGCTTGCTCGGCATCCTGGGGAGCCTCCGCCTCGTGCACTTCGGCCACATCCTCATCCCTCGTCATTGCCCTGCAGTCACCGTTCGATATCACAATATGCTGCTGCTGCTGCTGCTGTTCTTGTTCCTGACTAGTTTTGGTTTTGACAACATCGGCCAAGTCGATCCAATGGCCACGGTTATCGCGCACGCCCTCGACCAGAGGCTCCAGCTTGTCCGAGAGAGCGGCAAAGGCCTGGAAAGGGTAAAAGAAACACCAATTCAATCACACTGTCAATGTAAAACACTCAAAAACCCACCTCATAGATGGGCAAGCATATGGAGTCGATGAAATTCACTTGCATCATGGGCAGCTCATCCTCCTTTTCGCGATTCATGATGTCCTTTTAAAAGGTAAAAAATATATATTTAAATTGCTCATATTGTATAGGGATTCTTGTCACTCACAATAGGAGTAATATTCAGCTCCTGCTTCTCCATGTCGCCCTGCTCGAAGAACTCGGAGCTGACCAGGTCGGCCACCCGCTTCTCGATCTCCCACGGCTTGGTGATGGCCGACAAATCACAGACAGTCATGCTCATGGCCCGCAGCAGGGCACGTGGCTCCTCGGCCACCCAATGGCTCGCCGGCTGCTGGACGCTCTCCAAGAAGGGACCTCGTTTCCTTTGGTTAAATATTTAAAAAAATAATACATACAAAATATAATATAAATATTAAAATTTTATAAATAAAATGTCATGAAAATATTTAAAATATTAGAAATATAAAATATAATAAAAATATAAAAATATTAGAAATAAAACTCACTTGAAGTACACCGCCAAATCGGTGGATAAGATGGCATCTTCCAATACCCTGATGACCCGGCAATAGTCATCGGAGGACAGATTGGCCAGTATCTGGTTGCCAGGACTATTTAAGATCATCAGGCACTGATCAAAGTGGTGATGCTCCATGGTGGAGGTGGAGTAAAGCTGCGCCAAGGGCGATGAGGCTCTGAAAAAGTAATGTTTATTAAATGTATATAAATTAAATATAAATTATAAATTATGAATTATTGAAACGCACTTGATTTGGAAGGAGTTGTTGGTCCCTCGATGGTCGAGATCGTGGCAGAGGCAGCCTATAATCAAAGCCAGGCATTCGATTTCCCCAAAGATCTTCCACCATTGCGTGGTCTTTAGTAGACATTACATAAAATGATAATAAATATTGCTTTCTAAAATTGGAAAATGTAAGGATCACTCACCGTTAGAATGGCAAACATCATTTGGGCCACATTGAAGGCATGTCGCCAGTTGTGGTAGGTTACATTACGATAGTTCTTCTTAACACTCAGCAGCCAGCGGCACAGGACTTCGTAGTCGATATGAAATCGTTCCACAAAGTCCAGATCCAGGAACATGCGCAGGCAGGCCTGGAAAAGATGTTTAAAAATATGAAATAAATATTTAAATATTACTATTCAAACTTATTAAATATTATTCATATATTATTTTATTATTCTTCGAGCTTATTAAATATTATTTAAAGATTATTTTATTATTCTTCAAGCATATTCAATATTATTTAATTATTAAATTTTTATTATATATTATTTATATATTTTTGTGAATATACAAGCATACCTTCAGTGTATCATCATCCTCGAAATGGATGTCATCGAACTTGAAGTCGTGCAAACGGAAGTGGACAGCTGAAGGTACTCGTAGGCGCTGAAAATAAATATATTAAAAAAGAGATCATTAAATACTAAATATAGTAAGATAAGTATTATGTTAATGTACTTTTTACTAATTGGGTAATTCTTTTTAGAGATTTACCCAAGAAAATCTGTAAATGAGGGTTCACCTCTTAACAAAAAACCCGCACGTGTGCCAAGTCAAGGCTTTTTTTACCCAAAAGAATAAAATTTTATCCAAAAAAAAGGATATAAAATTCCCCCAACTAAACCTTCATCTGTTTGCTGTCAGCGAATGTTAATGGCGTTGTATTAGCCACCAAAGCAGAAGTTTATCAAAAAATTTTCTGAATGAAAAAAGGGTTTATCCGCCACATTGCGTGCCTCGCTCTCTGCCTGCTGAAGCAAAGCCTAGTGCGGTATAATTTTAATTAAAATTAATAACCCAACATCTTTGTCTGGCTGACAACCCGACAGGCGGTCATCATTTTCCCAGCATAATTACAGAGCGAGTGTCCGGCGGCGGAGAACAGGGAACTCGTCCGAGTCCCACGATTCCCCTACTTTCCTCAAGTAGAAAAGTTTCCCTTTTTGTCATACTTTTGTGCGAACAAACTAATTACAACTGTCAACACGTTGGCCCAGCAGGAGGGAGGGGACTGGGGCTGGTCCAAGGGCTGACAGCTTGTTGCTGTTGCTGTTTCTGTTACTGTCACACAGAAGCAGTGCGGGAATAAAAAGCATGAAGCCAGGGCAGACAATGCAACAGGGAAGTCCAAGAGTGCGCCTCCTCCGCCAGGACACATTAATTTATGGCAGACAACCTCTTGGCCTCTGGCAAATTAAGTGAGTGCAAATAAAATTAAGCATTTCACTGGCCTCCTCCGAGGCAAACGGCACCCGGGAGGGCAATTTAATCTGGACAGAGGGGAATTCGGTACTCACCCGCAACCGGTGTGCCTCGTCCATGGTGGCGGATGCATGGTAGCTGAGCACCTCCAGGGTGACGCTTTGCTTGGCCATTGCCACGATGGCCTTCTCGTACATGTGCGTGTTGTGGATGCCCATGCCGCAGAAGATGGCGAATGCCTCCACAAAGTTCTCGTCGTTCTTGGTGAAGTCCTGGGGGAAACGGATACAAAATTATACTTTAAAATATTTTGAAAATCATTTAGGATTATCCTTGAATACCTACCAACTCGTTGAACTTGTTGATCAGCTGGATGACTCCGATGATCTGGCCCAGCGAGTTCTTGATGGCCATGCACAGGATGGAGCGGTGCTTGAAGCAGGAGCTCTCGTCAACACTTGCGTCAAAGCGATCGTCCTCGTAGGCATTGGGAACATTCACCGTCTCCCCCGTGGTGGCCACGTGGCCAGTAATGCCGATGTTAATGGGAAAGCGGGATTCGTAGGGACTCGTCCTGGAGGTGGCCTCCTCCTCGCTCAGGTCATTCGCCTCGAAGTCAAAGACCCGCGAGAAGCTGCCCTTGTCCGCCTCGTGGACCAGCAGGATCTGGACGCGCTGGCACTGGATAAGACTCTGCATGTGGGTGAGGATGCGGAAGACCATGTGCTCGATGGTGCTCTGCTCCTCGAAGATCATGCGGGCCAGGTCGAGCAGGACCTGGTTCCGCTTGATTTCCAGTTGAGATTTCTCATAAAGCTGCGCATTCCGCAGTCCAATGCCGCAGAACTGCAGATACGAGGCAAAGACCTGGGAAAGATTACGGGAAGACAGAAAAAAGGAGGAGGGGGTTAGCATTTCATAATAGAGAGCTGGAAAAATGCCACAAAATTATGACATACACTGCGCACACATGTGTGCCGGGGGGATAATCCCTGATGGCATTTTGCCTGACATTCTGCTAAGCCTTCTTAACAAGAGAAACACTCTCCCTCCCCTTTGTTGAATAATGAATGCAATTTGCCAAAGGCTGCCACTGCTGCTGCTGCAGCTTTATTCGGAACAAAAGAATCAAACCAGCCACGTCATGCGATCCCCTCCCGAGCTCCAGCCTCCCCCACACTTACCTTTTCATCGATTTCGGAGAAGCACTCGCCATTCATTTTGTTGATGACCTGCGCCACGCCAATCACATCCCCGGACGAGTCCTTGATGGGCATGCACAGGAGGGCCTTCGTCCGATAGCCGGTCAACGAATCAATTTCACAATTGAAGCGTTCATCCTGCGGGGGGAAATCAGAAGGGAAAATTAAATTAATTCGTGCTCGGATTCGTGGCTTGTTCAACGATGAGTGATTGATTAAGGAAATGCAATTATCTGCCTAAATAACCACAGTCTGCCGAAGGATAGGGTTAATTTCTTTGTCATATTGTACAGTGAAATGATTTAAGCCTAACGAAGCTTACTAGGAAGCATAACTTATTCTCTATTATTGATTTTTACTGCACTTAATGACCCTATAAAATATTAAACAAACTATATCCCTAGCTCTTCTGATATCTATTTAGGCCAACATTGGCCGGGGGTTATCTACATCTCTCTTCCCCACAGATAATTATTTATGGCGAAAACTGTCTCCTTTTCCCAGTTCTATTTTAGTCACAGACTTGGCACACATTTCTCCCAACCTATTTTTCTAGGGGGCAGGTTATCAGTTGGCTCCACAGACGCCTCCCGAGATCTCTGGTGTGTGTTTGGCCAGCTACTTAGCCGAGTCAAAAGTCCACTGGGATCGACTGAAAGATCTGCACTCGAGCGTAACTGTCTAACCAAAATGCGACTCATTCGCACCGCGAATCGTCGTCTATAGTCCGGCGCATGGAGTTATCTTGGTCGCTCGAAATGGTCCCGCTGTCTGGTACCGGCAAGTGTCAAATTGGGGCCCTGATTAATTGTGCCAACAATCAGGAGATCTGCGGCTGAGAGCGATCTGTCTGTCTGTGCGTCACGTATTTGCTAGGGGGCTTTATCTATGTACATCTACGGCTTAGTATTTATTGGGAAAACATTATAGCACTGAGGAAAAATATGATAGGAATTTCTAAATAATTTAATTAATATTTGTAAGGCACAAATCCATATGAAGAGTGGAACGAATATCTTAAGAAAAACTTTCTTAACAAGAAAGGAAGCTAACTTCGGCACGCCGAAGTTTGTATACCCTTGCAGATATTATTTCATTGCATTTTATCTATACTTATTATGTTGAGAGTTTGACAGTTACAGTTTTACATTCCCAGTTTTACATTTTCCCTACACCTACCGATCGGTTTATATGGCAGCTATATGATATAGTTGTCCGATTTTCATAAAATTTATACCAAAATTCTGAACTAATAAAATAAGCTTATATCTCAGAGTAAATAAAAATAGTTTGAAAAACAACGAAGTTATAATTTTTTTTCTATTAATTTCCTGATCGTTCCTATGGCAGCTATATCATATAGTCGTCCGATTTTGAAAAAATTTTTACCAAAATTCTGAAATAATACAAAATGGTCATATCTAAAAAATGGTGCAAAAATGTTGAAAAACAGCAAAGTTATAATTTTTTTTCTAAAAATATATCGAACATTTGTATGGCAGCTATATGATATAGTCGTCCGATCCGGCCCGTTCCGACATATATAGCAGTGAGAGCATATAGATGACTATATGCAAAGTTTCATTGAGATAGCTTTAAAACTGAGGGACTAGTTTGCGTAGAAACGGACAGACGGACAGACGGACAGACGGACATGGCTATATCGACTCGGCTGTTGATGCTGATCAAGAATATATATACTTTATAGGGTCGGAAACGTCTCCTTCACTGCGTTGCAAACTTCTGACTGAAATTATAATACCCTGCAAGGGTATAAAAACTTAACTTCAAAGAAATTTCAAAATGTACAAAAAAAACTATAAAATTTGTTAGGTAAAATCTTAAAAATTCTGTATCGTTAAATACCGTAATCATTATTTTAAAAAATCTTATTTATCCAAAATAAATATAAATATTCTTTTTTTGTTGTTTAGAAGATTAGATATAATATCAATATTAAGTTTAATAAGTTTTAATGTGAAATTAGAGTGCTAGTTACTAAGACAATCGACTCTAAATAATAATAATATATTTTTTCACATAATTAATATTACTTTGCCTTCCTCAGTAACAACTGCTTCTAATTTGAAACGTTAAAAATGTTCCTCTCTCTGCAATTGAAGTCGGAGCAATTGTTATCGTTAGCCAAACAGCTTAAAGCCATGCCAGAACCACAAAAAATAGCAGGAGCAGAGGAAATAAAAGCATTGGGACTCCATATCTTGGTGATATAACATGGCTAACACGGCCTTGTCTTGGCGCAAGATTAATTACGCTCCAATTGGCAGACAGGCCGAAAGAAAAACTGCCGAAAAAAAGCTGTGTTTGTGGGGAGCAGCGGGAAAATGTGAAAAGTGCTGCTGATGCTGCTTCTGTTCCGAGTTCACTGAGCAATATTGAAAACTTAAAGAGCAGCAGCCGCACACACATCGCCATAAATCTTGCAATCGAATGAAAAGCCCCCCATATTCACCCTGCCACTACATATATCTCTCCTACACATCTCCAACTCCCCCGACTGAGGTTGATTTATGACCCAGTTGGCATTCAAATTTGTCAAATTTCCGAAAGATACTACAACTACTGCTGGTACTGACCTGGTAAGCATCTGGTATGTTGACGGGCTCTCCGCTCTCCGCCACATGGCCGGCGATGCCAGTGCCCCAGGCCACGCGGACCTCCTCCTGCTGCTCCATCTCCTCCACGGTGCTCCGGGGGCACACGTCGAACAGCTTCGAGACAAGGCATCTGCAATGGAGATGGACAGGAGAACGAGAAAGGAATGAGAACGGAGTCCAAAGTTGAAAATTATAAATTGTGTTGCACAGGCGGCGGCGGCATCGGCAACTATCGTCTATTGTCATCGGACACAATGCCAACTTTTTCCGCACTTCACTGAGGGAAATGAGAGGTATCTAGGGGTTCTGTTTAAATTATTTAAGATCTAGCAAATTAATGTGAATAAATGAGTATAAAAGAAACAATTGACCATTGATTTCTTCTTTCCTAAATATTACTTATGAGCATACATTTGTTTTATGGTGTGTATTTATGAACACTTTCTCTTTAATTTAGGGGCATTAAGTATATAATATTTCTTTCTTGTTTAATGATTTGCAACTTATATGTTTATAATTTATCGTCTTTATAAAAGTTTATTTTAGAGCCGATAAGAATACGAAAACAATTCACCATTTAAAAAATATGTTGCTACTGAAATAGAGTTCTAGTTGAAAATATTTAAGCCATCCTAAATATGAAATAAATATATCTGTAAATATTTATATCAGAAAATAACAAATTCTCTCACCTTACATATTAAATATAATAATAATTCCTAAATCAAATCAACATAGTTGTCTTTCCCTTTCTTTACCTTTGCTTCCTTTATTTTTCGCATTTTTCGATTACCATCTAAGATGCATTTATTTCTCAGTGTCTTGGATCCATTTCCTGTGTATTTTTTGCCACTTTTTCTATGGCTTTAAAAGTTTCTACCGAATAGTATGCATTTGGCGAGTGCGTGTGCAGACAATTGCAATTAGCGTTGGCAGCAGAATGGCGTCATACGATGCATACAAAATGGCTGACATGCCCGACCCCCTTCCCAGGTTCCGTTCCGTTCCGGGGTTATGGCATTTATGAAGGAGCCAGTGGCAGAGCCAGCTCATCCTCATCTACGCAGTGTGCCCTCATAAAATGCCAAAAATTAATGCCATAAAAATGTTGCCAAGACAAAGTTGAAGCCGCGCGAGAGCGAGCGTATTCACAATGTCCACGAAAATGCAGCTAAATGAAGTCATCAACAAATTGTTGAAAATAGTGCACGAGCAGCAGCAAACTTGGCTGATTGCTATATATACATTGGAGCCAAGTTTACATTGAGAATAGGGGTCCATTTTGGACTAATAGAATCTGTCTGATTTATGATAAATGCGTCTGTCTGCATTATGCTTCTATTTATAAACTAAGATAGGAGTGAAAGAGCGCCTTGTCTTGAAAACTCTATACCATTTACATATTTAATTTTTAATATAAAATTAAACTGAGAAACAAAACGGGTTCTTTAAATACATTTATAAATATATGTATTTATATATATATATTTTGTTGGTCAAATTATTGAACTATTGGTTTTTTTATACCCTTGCAGGGTATTATAATTTCAGTCAAAAGTTTGCAACGCAGTGAAGGAGACATTTCCGACCCCATAAACCATATATATTCTTGATCAGCATCAACAGGGGAATCTTTCTAGATATGTCAGGAAGAAATCGATTTTTTGGCCATTTTTGCAAAATTTTATAAGGGGTTACATCATTAAAATTTTTAATTTTGATAAAAAATTGAATTTTCAAAATTTTTAAATGAAGTATGCAGATTTATTAACTGTAGAAAATCTTGCGCGGAACAGTTTTCCGATTTAAATTAATGCTCTTTTGGCCAAATTATGATATTTTTAATTTTTAAAAAATCAAGAAGTTTTTTTTAGATAAAAAATCAGATTTTTTAATACAAAATAATATTTTTCTAAGTAAAGGAATCGTTTTCGACCCCATAAACCATATATATTCTTGATCAGCATCAACAGGGGAATCTTTCTAGACATGTCCGGAAGAAATCGATTTTTTGGCCATTTTTGCGAAATTTGATAAGGGGTTACATCATTAAAATTTTTAATTTTGATAAAAAATTGAATTTTCAAAATTTTTAAATGAAGTATGCAGATTTATTAACTGTAGAAAATCTTGCGCGGAACAGTTTTCCGATTCAAATTTAATGCTCTTTTGGCCAAATTATGATATTTTTAATTTTAAAAAAATCAAGAAGTTTTTTTATATAAAAAATCAGATTTTTTAATACAAAATAATATTTTTCTAAGTAAAGGAATCGTTTTCGACCCCATAAACCATATATATTCTTGATCAGCATCAACAGGGGAATCTTTCTAGACATGTCCGGAAGAAATCGATTTTTTTGCCATTTTTGCGAAATTTGATAAGGGGTTACATCATTAAAATGGCCAAAAATTTTGATTTCTTAAAATTTTAAATTTGGTATGCAGTTTTTTTAAATCAATAAAAACTAACACAAAACTGCTTTCCGAATCAAAATTAATGCATTTTTGGCTCAGTTATGATATATTTTAATTGTTACCTGCAAGGGTATACAAACTTTGGCTGGCCAAAGTTAGCTTTCTTTCTTGTTTTTATTATTATTTTCTAAACTTATAAAGGAGTGAAGTTGAGAGTTGAAGTTGAGTTTGTTTTAAAAAATTTCTTTCATTTACATATTTAGTTTTTAATATAAAATCAAACTCAGAGACAAAAAGACAAGTTAAATATATATAGTTATGTTTATTTAAGGGGGGGGTAAGGTTAATTCGGTGCAAAAATGCCCACTTTTCAAAAAAATGTTGTGGCGAAACGGCTAAAGCTAGCTTAACGAATTAAATACCATATAATAACACAACATTTGAACAGTTTGTGATAAATTTTGTATTGAAAAATATTTAGAGGTAGAGGAGTTATAGGGAATCTCCCGAGTCGCCTCCAAAAAAGTTGGTTTGCGGTGTACATCCTAACTGTCCACAAAATCATCCGATCTAAAAAAATTATACCTCATTCGTTAAAGGATAAGTGTCCCGAGGTATTCTCGAAGCGTTTTTATTTTTAAAATTTTTTCCCTATTTTTTATCAAAATTTGAAGTCAAAACCCCGATTTTTGACTAAAAAATTAAGTTAATTTGTTAAATAAAAAATATAAGAAAATTAAAAATTAAAAAAAGCTCGACGAGAATACCTGTAGAATTATCTAAAGAAGTTATGTTCCAAATTTCAAACCGATTGGTTCAGTATATTTTTAGTTATCGTGTACACCGATTTTCAAAATGGCATTTTTCAGGAGAGCGCTTTAAACTTTGTGATTCTCATGCATTGAACACCAACCGACCTTCGTTCAGCTCCGCATAACTTCGTCAATTTTACTATGATTGATGTAAAACTTGGACACAATATTCTTAATATATTAAACTTTTAAAATAAAAAATAAAAAAAAATTTACGAAAAAAAAAATTAAATACCTTACCCCCCCCTTAACTCTTTCCCTTATGCTTTCTTCACAGCCTAAAGTAATCTTAAAAAACCCAGTAAACAACTAAGCTAACTAAAAAAGCAAATCATCACAAGACGACATTCCCATCTAAAAAATTCTGTGGCATTTAGCATTATTAAGATACCTCTTTTAAGGCCAAAATCATGGCATAAAGATAACTCATGACTCTCCATAAAAACCAAAAGAGATAACACGGTCCTTATATTATTTTCCGACTTACTTTTTGAGTCCATCGGGGCCATTGCAACGTCCTTGGACAAGGAACAGCGAGCCACGATCGGCATTCAGCAGGATGGACACATTCTGGAGGATCTTGTGGCACAGGGTGCGCACCTCGAGCTCGTTGCAAATATCCTTTACCTGTAAGAGAGAGAGAGAGAGCCGAGACCCAGACGTTAAACAGTGTTCAATTATTTACTCGACTGATAAGCATTTTTTGCAATTTTCTGCAACTTAGTTGGGGGAAACACTAGACGCTACCGGAGACTATATATGAATGACGTCTTTCGAGTGTGTGTTGTTTGCCCGATAGCAACGTCAATGAGGTGCCGACAACAAAGCCAACAAATATAGGGCCAACAAACGGAGAAACACGTTTGCGGAACTCAACAAATAGATAGGGATTCGCGGTAGAAATCAATTTGATAACTAATAGTTGGGTCGTTTTTTCAGGAGTTTTAGTCATTTATGTAACTCTTGTTTTTAAACATATATTTTGTATATTAAATAAATTATAGAAAAGTAAAAAAAAAGAAGAAAAATTCTGATAACATAAACTATATTTTTCTAAGATCAGAAAATCCCTTTTTTGGCCAGGGTATCCCACTTCCGTTTCCCCTTTACTTACCAATTCAAAGATCAACTCCTTCTCGTCCAGCTGCTTCAGCTCGTTCCGCGACAGTCGCTGCGGTCGCTGGTGGCAATGATAATATTGATATTGATGACCGTTCCCAGCCGTCGAACCCGCCACCCCTCCGCTGCTGTTGCCACCCAGTCCGGATCCAGTGGGTCCTACAGCGCCGCCACTTGAGCTGCCCACCGCACCGCCCGCCTGATAGTGGCTATGCTGCTGATGGTGGAGGTGCTGCGGATGGTGGTACTGATACTGTCCTGCCACCACGCCTCCCACATTCTGGAGATTGCCGCAGCTGCTGCCCACACCGCCATTGTCCAGCGGCGACAGTCCGATGCTCAGGAAGGTGGGCGTGCCGTCGATGGTGTTAACTATGGGCTTCAGCAGGCCGCCGCGCTCGAACTCGTGAGCGGAGATTTTTCTAGGTATTTAAATATATGTAATTAAGTAAATTAAAAATTAAAATCATTCTCAGAAAATGTATAGGTGTTAAGGAAATAAATTTGTATCAAATTAAATATAGAACAGCTCTCTTAAATACAAATCATAGCTTCACTACAGATCTTATCAGATATTTAGGGAGTTCGTAAACCAGAGACTTTGCAGCATTTGAGCAGGCTTTTGGAATATACACTTAAATATTTATATGAGCATTTTCACTACATCCTATCAAGGCATACAAAGCCGGCAAATAAAGGCTAGGCTTGTGGTTTTCGCAATTTACAAGTTCATTTTAGACGACAGGAGCAAAGGTATACGAAACTGTTTTTTTAAATAAATGGTTTATTACTGTCAGTTACCTGGATTATATTCTAGGTAGCACTATAAAATATTTATCTGTTATAAACTACTATTAGATTAATGTTAAGAGATACCTAAACAAAAATTTAAATTTTAAATCTATAATTTTTATATAAAGGAAAACATAACCAGAACCAAAACAAAATTAATTCCAGAACTGCATTTAATCTCCAACTATTTGACAGACAAGGTTAATATGTCCGACATCCATCAGGATTAAACCCCATCGATATTCGATTAGGCACTTACCGCACAGGTGTGGTGGCTCCAGAACCGCCCCGCGAGGAGCTCGTCTGTCCATTGGGATGCGTGGGTGAAGTGCTGCTGACCACATCGTTGCCCGCGGAGGTGGCATGTGAGACCAGCCAGGCATCCACCGTTTGCCTTGTGGCTTTCCTGCGAAAATACGAGGGGGGAGGGAAATGAGTGCCAATGCAGTTGCTGATGAGATTCGGATTCACGCATTAAAGTCTTATGAAAAAAAAATAAGAGAGGCAAATGAGCACGCGCATGTGCCGCATAAAATCATCTAATAAAATGCCAGCTTATAAATATTCAGGGGCTGAGGCCTTGTGCTCGGCCAGCATGTGTCCTTATGGGCACGCGCTTTCGGCATAAAACCCCGACTCCAAAGAAATCACAGCTCACAACTCTTTGGAAAAATCAAGAGTCGATAGTCATGGTTCAAATAGCTGAAAATTGGGCTTACATTTTGAATACCCTGTATCATTAGAGATTTTTGTATTAAAAAATGTTAAAGCTAAGCTTCAGATATTTTGATCTATTAAGGATCCTAATTTGGAAAGGATCTCTCACTATATGTTTAACTAAATTTTTCTTTACCTTAAACCCAAGAAAAAACTTATAGAAATATCTTTATTAAGCAACAAAAGAGCTTCTTCAGCTTGCCAAGAAAATAAAAACTGTTTCCTTCTAAGGACAGCCGTCGAAAGGAGGCCATTTTTGTTTAAAAAATGATTTAAAATTATAGGTAAGTATTTAAGAAAAACTGAGTAGGCAGTTTCGTTGGGCTTAGAAAAACTAACCCGGAACAGCTTTCCGAATTGAATTTCATGCACTTTTGACTTGGTTATGCTGCCTGCTCGACCATGAAAATAAAGCCCAATTTATGCTTTTAGTTGTTGGTGATTTTTATTATGTGTCATAGACAACCAGCCCTTGGCAGCCTCTGACCCCGCCTGGCCTGATGTCCTACTGCGGCAAAGGCAATTTCCGGTTTATAGCGGAAACGAGCTGTCCCAAGCTCAGGGCCAAGTCCAAAGCCCCTCCTAAACCCACATGCTATGTTACATATTGCCGGGTCAGACCGACGACAATACAGTTTCAAATTTAAGAATTGATCCGCTCGATGGGAAAATAGATTATTGGCTCGATGGGTTCATCGAAGAACGCCTGTTGGCAGATGCAATTTATGTCCCTACCAGGACGAGTTCCCTACCCTTAGCCCTGCCTAATGAAAGAGTTGTTGGTGGGGTCAGTTGGGAGCCAAGACCTTAAATGTTGGCCTTGACATGCAGAAGGCTTTAAATGGAGAGCACCCGAAGTAGATTTTGCTAGTCTTACCTTATAAAATAATCCTGTACAAATTCCTGATTCTCGTCCAGCCAGGCCTCCATCCGCGCGTGCTCCGGGTCGTAGGGCCTGCTGTGCTGCGGCGAGGCTGGCTGGTGGTGATAGTGGTGGTGCTGGTACTGGTACTGGGACTGGTACTGATGCATCTGCTGCTGCTGGAGCGGATATGCCGGCTGCTGTGGCGGGAACACCGCCTGCTGGTTTGCGGAGGATCCATTGGCAGCGGCAGCGGCGGCGGCAGAGGATGAGGGAACAGATCCCGATCCAGTGTGGTTCAGCTGCTGGTAGTGGGCGGGTAGTGGCTGCTGGTGGGCAAGGGGCAGGGGGACACCGGTGTGACGTGTGGCCAAGAGCAGCGAGTGCTCACCGTAGCCCCCGCCGTAGCCCGGGCCCCCCTGCTCAGCGTTCATTCTACTGGCGGCGGCGGCCGCCGCTGCTGCCTGGAACTGGAGCGGCGTCGACGCGGGCTCCTCGATGCTCCGCAGATGCAGGCCTGCAATGGTGGAGAGAGGGGGTAATGGAAACATGAATACTTAATCCGCAGTGTTCTGAAGTCTAAAATTTGTTATACTGTTTTATGTCTTCCCCTGCACTGCTAGAGGAATTAAGAAAGTTTGGAAAATATATAGCTTGAACTTTCCCTTAGGGAAAATTAAAGTATTTCTCTTTATGAGTTGGCATTTCATCTAGACTTCCAAATTATATTTATTATAATATAATTAATATTAATATTAATATATAATTATAGTATTGATATATATATATTATAGCTTGAACTTTCATTTAAGGAAAATTAAAGTATCACTTTTTATGAGTTTGCATTTTATTTTAGCTTTTGAATATATATTAATTTGCCATATTAAATAGGTACCTAAGTAAGTTATTTAATGGTATTAAAGTATTTAATATTTTTATACTCAAACCCAGGTGCTTATATATTGTTTCTATATTATATTAGACAGCTTATACATTATATTGTATAACGTATAATATTATAATAAAAAACTGTTCTTAATTGTTCATAAATTCTTTAACTCATATAATATAATATTTACCTCGTCGCCGAAAGTATTTGTTAAAGCAAAATTCAAATTTTTAAATATGTAAAATATATATTATAAAATAATATTTCAGCCCACATTTCCCGAATGGATTTATTTATGATCGCATTCGAGTCGAAGCCCTTTTTTCCGGGTGTGTAATTTGCTTGCGCTGCATGTGCTGACAGTTTTATGAGCGATCCTTGGCTCTTTTTTGCCATCTCGCTGGCCTGACGCAACATTTGCATTGCAAATGGGTCATATCCTTTAGGGGTAAGTCACACTTGGAACGTGACGCCCCTTGGTATTTTTTCCCGTCGCTCTTCCACTTTTCCGCTGTTTTCCTTTTCAATTTTAAACAATTTCGAGTTCACGAGCAAATCACATAAATTTGTTCAATTGCTTTTTCAGCTCATCAATTTCGGGCGCTGTCTGTCGTTCGCTTTTGAACAACTAAGTGTCAAGGAGCGACTTTTAAGGGAGAACACCGAGTGACACACATGCTGCCCCGCTGCGAGCGCATACGCGGCGTATGCGCTACGTTGCGTATACGTAATAAATAACAATGACAGTCGGAGGCCCCCAAAAGTGTTTCAGTTAACATTAACCGGAAATATTGGCAATTTCCTTGAAATATTGACTCGGCAAGAGTGTGAAAGTGTGTGTGGGTTTGTGTAGCACACACCCTAGTGTCTGGTGGTGTCTGTAATGGCAGCATTGAGCGCCTGATTAAGTGCTAAAAATAGATATAAATACGACAACGAGTGTAAGTCACTGATGAATGTCTCAAGGATGCGAAGGGATCTCCCTCGCTCACTCTCCCCTCCCTCGGCTGGCTTATTTATTCTCTGGAAAATATGATTTATGTGCTACTTTTGTAACCCCGGACCCTAGAAAGCACACAAAAGAAGTAAACAAACGACTTGTTCCTGTCACTTGACAATTCGACTTTCGGGTTAAGCTCGCTCCCAACAAATGCCAAGGATATTTTCTTAAATATATGTATATGCAAAAGAGTTTCTATTTTCAGGCAAATTAGATACGGAAATATTTGCTGACTGCCTGTTTTTTCCGTATATTTAAATGGATGTTCGGTGGAGAGTGACAATTCCTGATGGCAAAGGGAATTTGGCTGATTAATTTTAATGAGACAAACACTTTTTGTTATGTTAAAAAGCTTAGATGTGGTTTGTGGTATATATTATTTTAAATAGAAAGAAGCTCTGTAATAGCTTTTCCGTATCTATTTATTCTATTATTTTAGCTCTGAGATAAATGCCAAAACTTATTTAATTCGAATTTTATTCCTATTTAATATAATATATACATTTGAATTTTGTATAGTCGGCATTTAATAAGAAACTTCCTTGGGGCCATTTCCCGCGATTCTCTGCTTAAAAATTGACTCTGGTATTAATTTCCAGCACTCGCCCCCACGAAGAATTTCCCTGAGCAGACATAAATTCTCATGTTAATCTGCTGGGAGAGCGCTCTTTCCGCTGGTCTTTGGCTTTTAAGCTTGCCAATAAGTTGGAAGTTGGACTACTTACGGCCCTGCGGTGGGGAATATACTTATATGTGGAATATATACGGCTGTGTGTTTGGGGAATTTAATCTTTTAAGCTGCATTTGCCTTGCACACATCCAACATGCAACACGCTTAAGCTGCTGCAGAAACACTCTCCCCCCTGTCCCTGGGCATTCCTTTGGCCATTTCCTGCACTCGAAGTCAACTGGCAAGTCGACAGTGTGTCGCACATTCGGCTACACCCACCTACAGCCCCTACACCTCCTACACCTTCCTGTACTCTGACACTTTGCTGCGGTTTGATGCGTCAGCTTTATGTAAGACACTCATATGGGGGCCGCCCCCCAACCCATTTCCCAAAATCCTAAGACTGAGTCAGGCGAGTGGCGAACATTTTTATTTAGCATTTACAACGGAATTTTACTTTACTTTTAGCAGGAAATCATAAGAGCAACCAGCTTTGCCAACTGAATCCGAAATACTCTTTAAAATACGAAGATTTATAAAGCATCTTAATTTAAGTGTTAATTTGAATTTATTATAGGTATTAATAAGATAATCTTGTGATGGTTTTTATATTCGAAGAGAAACCGAGTATTTTTCAGAAATGTTTGCTGAAATTTAATTTAAAACAAAAACTAATGTATTTACCTTAAATAAAAAATAAAGATAAAAATAAATAATAGGAACTACAGGCAAGAGAATATAAATTCTATTGTCTGACTTTTGTAGGAAAATAATTTCAGTACTAAATTCAACTAATGACTGTGAGTTCTATAAATTAATCATATTAATGGTTTATTTTACATATATTACATATTCGCTTTTTCTGGTTCTTGACTCTCCACTGGGCATTCCAAATAAATTTGATATTATATATCTACCTTTTCTTGTGTAATTATCAACACCCCAAACTAGTGTATTATACCAACCACACACACTCTCGTGCACACAACATGAACATGAGTGTGAATGGCATTGTGGCTGTTGTTGCTTCTGAGTGCAGCCAAATGCAAATTGAAAGTTGGCCAAATGTGCAGAAAAAGAGACCAATTTTGTTGTGTATATATATATTTTCCCTCTTGTATTTTTCGGATCGATGTTGAGCAGTTTCTGAGAAACGGAAGTGGAAAAGGGGGAAGGAAAAACTCTGAAGCTCTGCTGTTTTCCCGGTTCTTTGGCTCTGTTCTCGGGTTCTTTGGTATTTTCTGGTCTTTGTTGACTGAATTTTTGTGACAAAATATTTATGTAAATTTCAAGGTGCAAATGTTTGGGTTCAACACTTTTTTATCTTCAACACTGAGATTCCATTTCTCTCACCTGTTGTTGCTGAGGCTCCGGGGATTATTTCAGGATGATGCTGTATCTGTGGACTGTGGCTGGGTGTTGTGGTTGTTATTATAGGTTGTTGTTGCTGCTGCTGCTGCTGCTGTTGTTGTTGTTGTTGCTTACTATTTTTATTCTTATTTTTGTAACGACAACCACGAAATCGACACATACTTGCCGCTTGGCCCATGGGGCCCGCCAGCAATGCAAATGTTAGACCCTCCGTTTTAATGAATTGAATCTTGTCAATTTTGAGCAATGCCGCCGCGTTACGTAAATTGTATTTCCTGCTGGCCGCTGTTCTTGAAGTTTTGGAATCAATTTTGTTGGTTTTTGGACTGCCGCCGAATGGCCGCAGGATGTGGTCAGCATATGTGAATAATGCGGATTTCGTATAATTTGTACACCTTGGTTCCGAACACTCGCTGCACTCGGTTTCACTTTCATAATAACTTATTTGCCTTCTTAGTCAATTATTCAGGGACTGAAATACTGCTGACAGGGGGACGACCTGTTGGTGGTTTATTTTGAATTAAATTTGTGTGTGTCTATCGCGGTGTGCCGGGTGGTTCACGCGCTGAAGAGCGAAAACTTTGCAGACGAAAAAGTTTTGGGGACAACTAAATATGTTTATTCCGCAGAGTAACTTGAGGGTTTCCTGAAATACTGGGGTTTAGCTTTACAGTAAAGGCTCTGAGATAGTGAACTCTGAATAACAGGTACTCTTTCGGAATATTTAGGCAAACATATATGCCCAAAAAAGCTCAGGTAAGATGAGTTTTTTATTTTCAGAAAATACATTAATATTTATAAGTTTAATAAAAATACATATTAAGAAATGTTCTTCTAGGAAGTACATAAAATATTTTCCATATACTCCAACATCGCTATTTAAACCCTATATCTTACTCAAAAAAATTATGATTCTCACAAACTGAATTTCACATACTCTTTATCCGTTCGCTCGCTGTACTTTCCTAGTCAGTTTTAAAGCTTCACTCTGACAATTGTGTTTCCCATGCGGTTTTCCCAGAGAGAGAGAGGCAATTCAATTAACGCTTTTGGGGTCGCCAACAGTCAACTGGCCGAGACATCGAGGAGGTCGGGGTTGGAAGGGCAGGACAACAGACAGGCCGCCAATTGATAAATAAACAAGACTCCAAAATGTCGCTGGAAATTCGATGAGGGAGAGAGAGGAGGCAATGGGGCGGAGAGACAGAAACACTGACGCTGCCTGCACACGTAGGCCATAGTAAAATGCCAGTTAAGTAAAATAAACATGGCCAAAAGCGACTCTCATCGCTGGAACGTCAACAGTGCTCAACAAAAACCAAAGGCAAACAATTGCAGAACAACAACAGGGGGAGGGAGGGCAGAGGGGGAGAGTGAGGTGCCCAAAAAGGACGATATTCGGAAAGGATTGTTGTGGCTTGCGGTCGAGCAGATTTCTATTGAGAGCAAAGTATTTACAAATTAATTGAAAAAAGCTTTTTGAATAATTTGTTTATTTATGTAGTTTGTACACTAAAAAATACACAAAAAAGATTAATCTTGAATCATAAAATAAATAGTATTCTATTTATTTATTTAATTGCACAC